ATTAAATAAGAAATAAACTCAAGATAGATTTATTTAAAAATGAAATATTTTTGTAAAAAAAAAAATCATACCCTCAATTTTGTTTTGTGAGAGAAATTTAATATCGTTCCCGTGAAATAAGCTTGTCGATATCACGAATATATTTTCGTGATAATGCAATTTTCTCGGCGTATATTGCACGATCGATCCACGTTTGAAATCGCTTTTACTTACGTTTAAACGGTAGATTGAAGTGCACTTTTATCGTAACCTCCATGCTCACGAAACGCACAATTGCAGTAACTCACGAAATTGATCAAGTATTTTAAAAACATCATATAAAAGTTTTTATAATCAAACAGTGGAGAGAAAACTAGAAAGCTAACGTACATTGCGAAACAAATTTTCATTATTATAAAAGAAAATACAAGTCTGCCAGAAGAGATTGCAAATGATGTATTTCTGAAATAAGAAGCCTTCCAAATAATTACTCGAAATTTTCGTAACACTCGATTATTTTTGCGAGTCGCTTGCATAAAGCTCAAGTATACCTGTAAGACTCGGGATTTAGCCTCGTCACAGTGCAGTAATGATGCAGCGCACAGACTCCGTTGAGAGGACCGCCACAGCCCCAGATTTGCTCTACCTCGCGCGGCAGCGAGACCGTGTTGGCCGCGTAATACCTGTGGGACATAGAATACACTCACTCCCACACACACACACACACGCACACACACACACACACGCACACACACGCACGTACGCACGAGGCGTGGGGTGTGCGAGGTAGGATAATATACACAGACCAAGACCGAGCTTGTGCATTAGGAGAAACGCGAGAGAGCGGTCGGGTATCAGGGCTGTTATTAGCATCGTAATGGTGCGCGCGTCTCGAAAAGGGGTAGACAGTTATCACAATGTCGCCGGGCCAGAGTCAGGTATTACTGCGAGATATAATTGCTGACTCACGCGGAGAAACAACGCGGGAATTATTAATCCTCAACCATGGGCATCGATATCTCACACGACCGACGCCGCTTAACCACATTCCGCACGTCAGCACGAAACACCCCATTGAGAGATTTTGACTGACATTAATGCGAAACGTAAGGCTAAGAGGCTTTCAACAATAAGCCACAATCGGATGTGAGAAGAATATTCTTCTTACCTTCGATTCTGGCTTATTGTTGAAAGTCCTTTATCCTTAGCTTTAAATCTTAAGTCGTAAGAAATTGACCAATCATAGTCGATTATATAATTGATTATATAATAATTGGTCAATTTCTTACGACTTAAAACTTAAAGCTTGGATAATGGGGCTTATTGCGGAAAGCCTTTAATAAATGGACCGCAACACAAACATAATCCTGAGTTGATTCTTTTCTTACAAGGATCGCGATCGGCATCTTAATAATATAAATGGTATTTTTAAACGATCACTATTTGTTTTACGTCGTATCCATTGATTAATAATTCTAACGAAGAAAGAAATGTACAGCGACACGAGACCAGCGGCTTAAGGCGTAATCGAGGCCAGTAATTAGCGGGGTACGCCATTATGGTTTTAGGGGTAAATTACGCGAACGGATCGATCGATCCACTTCATCGCATACATACCTGACGAAGGCGTAATCATTCGACTGCGTAAACCGGTCCGCCAGATCGTGAAGAGTGATCGCCGTTATCTCGTCCAGCTCATAATAGTCGAGCAGCGAGTACTCGACTATCCAGTTCGCTTTGCCGATTGAATTCGCTTCGGGCAGATTAAGATAGTACTGCGTGTAATCCAGAATCTGCGCAGCGTGCAACACGTACACATAGACAGGTTCTACATTTCTCCGTCCCTTTTGAAATTGGTACGTCGCGCAAATAGAGCGTTCCCGTTACGGAAACCTCGCGATAATATTGAGAATGTATACGCGCCCGCCGTACCACCTACCTGTCCAGTGTTAGTTTCGAACTTGTAGAGTCGCAAACCCGGGTTGTTGGGCCCCCCGACGGTGTTCGGCGTTACGCTGGGAGCCATCATTATCCAGGATACGGGCAGACCTGTTCAATACGAGTATCGTTTCACCGAATAATTTAATCGCGCGCTATACAAGTATTAATAAAATTAAGGTCAAAATAAAACCAATACGTTCATCTAGATCGGTGCGATATGAAGGGACGACAAATATTGATAAATAATTTCTCTGAGGAATCGATCGGTCCCCTTTTTCTGTGACTGTCAAAGGAAATACGATAGTTCAACAAAACACTTTGAAAAGAAAAACGAAGATCGAAGTTATTTCATTCTAGATTACAAGGCAAGAGATAAAGATAAATAGTCCACACGGTTTGTATCGTGTCAGGAAATTGTTATATTCGAGAGAAATATTATCTATAGTTGTACCTATATTGTGTATAGTGCTACGTACCCGCGATTTACTCTTTTGTAACTAGCGTTTTGTAAATAAGTCCTGACAATTTGCTGTAACATACCTGTGTCGCTGTATATCACGCGGAATGTATCCGAATGCCAGTGGCCAAAGAACTGTCCCCGGATGATGTCCGAGTAGAGCCGGACTACCTGCAGATACTTGGTGTTGTGCCTCTCGTTGAGCGCCGCGGCGCCGCTTTCGTGATCGTCCACCCCCGGCGGTGTGTGGCCGACTATGTACACCTGACCGTTACAGAGTTAGAATAGGAATGATCATCGAACATCGATATTTCGAGGAATCTGCATAGTTAGGTCGGTTCGACGTTTCGTTATCTGTGTTCTACCTTAATATCTATTCATGAAAACTCGATGTATTCCGATACTATCTTCGATGTTTCCCACGTTGGATTGACCTTTGACGAGCCGCGTTATTTGACGTGAAGACACTTTCCGATGCAATGTATACTTTTATGTCGCAAAAAAAAATTTTTTCTTAAAAAGTTTTTATTTAATTTTTCTATCATATGCGTATAAGATTTGATTGCGATGTGAAGATATGTCAAGACATGGCGGTTCAATAAATAATACTTTTAGAATATCAGCCTTTTTTTTCAGTCAATTAATTTATAAAAATATTTTCTATGTCCATTATTCGATGTTAATCCTACTTATTATCATTAATAATGCTTCATTCTGTGTACTTATATACTCTCTAAATTCTTTGGAGTAGTATCTCACCTTAAGAGTGAAATTTGAGCCAGTATTGGAAAAGAATGGCTCAATTTTCAATCTTGAAAAA